AGAACACTCCGGGGATCAAAAAAAAGACATCATAAACATCGGTAGACTAGATAAAACATAATTTATCATGACTAAACGACCCCCAGCTGACAACAATTTACTCTTCCAGCTGCTTAATTTTTTTCTCGATTCTATCTTCTACCACTTTCCAGTCTTTATTCGATAGTCTTCTAACATGCATTGGGATGCCTAAGTACTTAAAGGGGAGTTGTCCTAGTTTGCAACCAAAGAGTTATGAGTATTGTTCCTCACACTCTCTAGCCTGCCCAAAACAGAAGATGTCACTTTTGTGATAGTTAATTTTTAGACCAGATAGTTGTTCAAAGACACAAAGTAACAATTTCATATTTTTTTGCTAAGTCGATGTCATGATCTAAAAAGATAATTGTATCATCAGCATACTGCAAGATTGATAATCCATCATCTATTAGATGTGGGATTATTCCTCTAATAAGTCCCTCCTGTTTGGCCCTATTTAAAATAATTGCCAACATGTCTACCACTATGTTGAACAGGATTGGAGATAAATGGTCTCCTTGCCTAAGGCCTTTCTTGGTCTGGAAGTAAGGTCCTAGATGATCATTTATTTTAATTCCTACATTTCCTCCTTGAACCACCGTCTTAATCCAATCACACTAAGTCGGATGAAAACCTTTTAGTCTAAGGGCCTGTTACAAAAAGTTCCAATTTACTTTGTCGTAGGCCTTCTCAAAATGATCTTAAAATCATCGTTTTTTCGAGCGAGGAGTTGGTGTAGCGTCTCATGGAGAATCGCTGCTCCTCTCCTAGCGTGTACTCCAAACAAATCTCACGGCTGACAAGCACGAACTGTACCCATCCATTTATCCATCCATCCATCCATCCATTTGCTTCCTATCGTGTGCATGTCAGGATCAGGCCCGAGCCCGAAGCGTCGTCGCAGGAGTCAGGACTCAGGAGTGCCATGAAGAGGAGTCTTTATGACAAGAGAACTGCCGATCGATCGAGCTAAAAAGTCTGTTGTTCGTAAATGATTGTAAATTTTCAGTTAAGAATAGTGTTTTTTTCTTATAACAAACCAATCAACAACAAATAATCCACGATACGATACGACCTCTTGAACAGGCTGAAAGACGATGATGTGCAAGCTAAGCGCAGCGGCATTTCAGAAAGGGCGCATGACTGTACAAAAATGGAAACAGGGCAGCACAGGGACGCAACGCCGCGACAGTGACGCGAGAATGGGAATGGTAACAGACAAATCGCATGATGCTTTGGGGGACATGTCGACAGGCTAGGGGGGGCGCCGGTGCCGGGGGCCCGCTGCCTGGTGAGCGAGAGCTACTGGCCTGCTGTGGCTGTGGGTGGTGTGGCCGTCAGCTTGATCCTGGCTTTTGAGTTTTCAGTTTTCACAGACGCACGCATGCACTCACGTTCTCTGCAAGTCTGCAATCCCTCTCCCTCACTCTCTCTGTGCTTTTTTGAAGGAAAGGCTGATGCTTTTCTGTGTTGGCTACTCACGTCAATTCGAGTAGCTGTAGCCCTAGGTCCTGCAAGGGCTAGACACCACACCGGCACACCTGCGCTGCTACAATAAGGCCTGTTTAGATTCCACCCAAAATCCAAAATTTTTTAAGATTATTTGTCACATTAAATCTTACGGCATATGTACAGAGCATTAAAATTTTTCAAGATTCCTCGTCACATCAAATCTTACGGCACATGCATGGAGCATTAAATGTAGGTAAAAAGAATAACTAATTGCATAGTTTATTCGTAATTGACGAGACGAATCTTTTAAGCCTAAATAGTCCATAATTGGATATTTTTTGTCAAATACAAACGAAAGTGCTACAGTAACCAAAACCAAAAATTTCGCATCTAAACAGGGCCTAATGCTACTACTACAGGGTTCTTTTGGATCGACATTTCTAATTAGCCCTTGTTTAGTTTGCAAAAAGTTTTCCCAAAAAGTGCTACAGTACACGTCACATCGAATCTTGCGGTACATGCATGGAGCATTAAATGTAGACAAAAATAAAAACTAATTGCACAGTTTTGTTGGAAATTGCGAGACGAACGTTTTGAGTCTAATTAGTCCATGATTGAACGCTAATTACCAAATAAAAACGAAATTGCTACAGTAGCCAAATTTCGCACTTTTCGCGAACTAAACGCGCGCTTAGTAGTAAGAATTAGTAAAGGCTGTATGCAAACAAATCTGATAAGACCTGTTTGCTAGGATTTCTTTTTCGCTCTGGCTTCCTACGAGGAACTAGAGCCGGTGAAGCTTGAAATACTTGTTGAATTAGATTTTCCCCTGTTTGCTTATAGTTTATAAGTCATATTTTTTCACTAACGAATAGTATTTTTCTCTCACAACAAATTAGTCAACTAGTACTTTCAGTCATGGCTTATCAGCCAAGCGAACATGACACTTATCATAATAGGATCTTAAACTTAGCGTATACATGATCACTAACATAATTTAGTGCGGAAACTTATCATAGTGACTAACTAGAGCCTGTAGATGTCATTTGAGTGTCTCTATAGATGTACATCATGTTCGCTTGTTGGTTTCAGCCAGGGCTTATCAGCCAGCCAACCGTGTTTTCCTCTCACAATAAACCAGCACTAGCCGAGCTTGTCAGCCCAGAAACCAACCAACGAACAGGCCGGTAGTAGGGTTGATGCAGCTGAAGTAGATGAACTAATCTTCACCAATTGAGAGGGGCTCTCCGATTTGCAGCCTCGTGGACTCCTGGATCAGGGAGTCATGCTTCCAAACCCCCTCGCAACGCCTAATGGATCAGTTAGATGAGTTTAGGTGTTGAGAAAAGAAGCCTAACCCCGAAATCAACTTTGGTATTATTATTTATATACACGCTGTGAGGTTGGGGTCGACTCCAGATAACCCTTAGGGTTGCCGCGGATCACAGCAAATAGTTTAACAGTTTGACACTAACAGGTGGACATTAACTTGTGTGCCAAGTTGATCTCGCTTAGCCGAGATCTCATCCAAATTCTGGCGTCACCAACTCCTAGTTCACTCCTAGAAGAGAGAGAAAATATTTCTTGCTACAATGCAAAAATATAGTCGTTTTCTAAGAAGGAGCCCTCACAAATAGGGTCTAAAGCATGTGCTAACTTCTAGTAGGAATTTGCAAGATAAAGGTTCCCAGCGAACGTTAAAAATTATAACCCCGCTATATATGAAAAGGTGGCAATTCTAGTTAGTCAAATTATATAAAGTTTGGTCAAATTTAGGACACCTTCAGTGGTGACTTATGAGCTACTCCCTCCGTCCCTAGATGTATGTACGTCGCTTTCGCATTCCTGAGAAATAACTTTGACTAAATATATATTAAAAAATATTAATATTTATGATACATGATTAGTATCATTGGATAGATATTTGAATCTAGTTTTTTAATAAATTTATTTGAAGATATAAATGTTCCACGTATTTCCTATAAATTGAGTCAAAGTTATCGGCACACAAATCGTGGCGACAAACATTTAGAGACAGAGGGAGTAGCTCTAAGCATATTATTTTATATTTTAATAGAAGATAGAGAGAAGCAATCTTTTGATAAGAGTTAATCTCATGCACACACTCCAAGATCATGTGAGGTTATCATGTGTGACTATTCATATTATGAGCTCTGTGCTAAAAGTAAATATTATTGGAAAAGTCTTATAGAAAAGAATATCAATATTTATCACATCAAATAAGTATATCACGATAAATCTAGTGATAATTATTTGGTATCCTAAGTTAGTACTTTAACCATAAACTTAGTTAAACTCAAGATGGGTTAACTTGATAATGTGCTAGAATTATATTTCTTTTCAAAATTGAGGGTGTAGCATGCTTTTTAATGCTCCTTCCGTAAAGAAACAATGATAGCATAGTGTTTGAGTCAAACCATTTGAGTTGGAACAAATTTTTACAAAATAAACATTAACATTTTGGACATTGATCATATTCGATTCGTTCCATGCAGCTTTTGTGCTCGTTTGGCTGCAACCCTCTCAGCCATTGTCTCTCCAGGCAATCAATCCTGGCCCCGGCGTTTAAGGGGCTGTTTGGTTCCTTAGACCATATTTTAGTTTATGTCCCATCGAATATTTAGACACATGCATAGAGTATTAAATATAGACTAAAAAAATAACTAATTATATAGATTGTGACTAATTTGCGAGACGAATTTTTTAAACCTAATTAGTCCATGATTTGATAATGTGATGCTATAGTAAATATGTGCTAATGATGGATTAATTAGACTTAATAGATTTGTCTCATAAATTAGTCTACTCCTGTGTAATTAGTTTTTTAATTAGCTCATATTTAGTCCTCCTAATTAGCATCCGAACGTCCGATGTGACACGGACTAAATTTTAGTCCCTGGATCCAAACACCCCCAGACATGGTGTCTCTGGCTGGTCTAGGCAATTTTCAGTCTGTTCGGTTGGCTGGTTCATTTCGTTGCTGGTTCGTGAAGAAGTACTGTTGGTTGGTTTGTGAGAAAAAATACTATTCCAACTAAAAATTTACGATCGTTTATGACAAGCCACGGCCAAACGAACAGGCTGTTTGTCACACCTCCATCGTCCAAATAGGCGCTTAATGACTACCCCGGCCAGCTATCATCATAAAAAAAAGTTTACAGCAAAAAGTAAACAAACATGCTCCATTATCGGTAGAATTTAGAAGAGACTGTGCAGACTCATTCATAGCTGTGTGCTTAGATTGGGATCTCAATCATATTCGATTCCGTTCCAAGCAGCTTTTGTGCCCGTTTGCCTGCAACCTTGCAGGGCTCACATGAAATCCCTCAGCATCCTGCTGCATACTCATTTGCTACCTTCCTCTCTCCCCAGCTACTTCATGGCTGCTTCCAGTCCACACTTCACACCTGCAGATTTGTAGTCGCTATAGTTTCTCACACTTGACACTCCCCAAGCTCCCACGTACTCCGATCCGATCCAGGAGAAGAGGAGAGCGAGCGTAGGGCAGCATGATGCACCAGCACCACCCTCACTACCTTCCGCGCCTCCACTCGCCGTCGTCGTCCTCCTCGTCTGAGGCGGTGGACATGGACCCCCGCGTGTGGGGCCGGCTGCCGCAGCCGCTGGTGGACCGCGTGCTGGCGTGCCTGCCGACGCCGTCCTTCCTCCGCCTCCGGGCCGCCTGCCGCCGCTTCTGCAACCTCATCTACTCGTCGCCGTTCCTCCACTCCCACCTCCTCCTGTCCCCGCACCTCCCTTTCTTCGCCTTCGCCGTGCCTTCCGCGGGGTACCTCCTCCTGCTCGACCCCACCAGGCCGCAGGCGCCCTCCTGGTCCCGCCTCCCGCTGCCGCTGCCCGTGGCGCCCGGCGCTGGCCACCAGGCGTTCTCCCCGGCGGCCGCGTCGGCGGGCCTGCTCGCGTTCCTGTCGGACGCGTCCGGCCACAAGACGCTGCTCCTCGCCAACCCCATCACGCGCCTCCTCGCGCCGCTGCCGCTCTGCCCCACCGCGCGCCTCTCCCCCACCGTCGGCCTCGCCGCGGGACCCACCTCCTTCATCGCCGTCATCGCCGGCGACGACCTTGTGTCCCCCTTCGCGGTCAAGAACATCTCCGCGGACACGTTCGTCGCCGATGCCGCCTCCGTCCCGCCCTCCGGTTTCTGGGCCCCGAGTTCCATCCTGCCCCGCCTCTCCTCCCTCGACCCCCGCGCCGGCATGGCTTTCGCCTCCGGAAGGTAATTAAAGCCTGATGAAGCGCACGTGTGTGGGTGCGGAATCTGTCCATGCATACACATGAGCACACGGCATGAGATCAAACTGACTACATGCAAGTTCTACTGGTTTCCTGTCGCAGGTTCTACTGCATGAGCTCGTCGCCGTTCACGGTTCTTGTGTTCGACGTGGCGACCAACGTCTGGAGCAAGGTGCAGCCGCCGATGAGGAGGTTCCTGCGGTCGCCGGCGCTCGTGGAGCTCGGCGGCGGGAGGGAGCGCGAGGCGAGGGTGGCGCTGGTCTCCGCCGTCGAGAAGAGCCGCCTCAGCGTGCCACGGAGCGTGCGCGTGTGGACGCTGCGCGGCGGGCACGGAGTCGCCGGCGGAAGCAACGGCCGCAGCGGGGCGTGGACCGAGATGGCGCGGACGCCGCCCGACGTGCACGCGCAGTTTGCTGCGGCCGAGGGCGGGCGCGGGTTCGAGTGCGCGGCGCACGGCGACTTCGTGGTGCTGGCGCCACGCGGGCCCGCGAGCCCCGTGCTCGTGTTCGACTCGCGCCGCGACGAGTGGCGGTGGGCGCCGCCGTGCCCGTACCCGTACGCCGGGGGGATCGCCGCGGGAGGTGCCGGGTTCAGGGTGTTCGCCTACGAGCCCCGCCTGGCGACGCCGGCCATCGGCCTCCTGGATGCCACGGCGCCGTCGGCCTTTTTGCATGGGATGCAGGGCTAGCTGGGGGCTAGCTAGCTCGTCGATCATCGGTCGCTTATGCGCATCTTCTAGATAACCGAAATCAATCCGCCGGTCTCTGCGTTGTGAGGTGTGAAACACCATGAAATTTGGTGCTTTCCTAGAGCATGTTAGCGAAGGCTGCTGGTAAGTCTACTAGTTTGAGGCGTGTGTCTTTCTGAAAGACTCTTTCATATATGATCCCTAGTACTATTAAGTTTGTGGTATTTCATGATTTATATGTACGGGGATTAGTTATATGAACATTTAAACTTGCTTTCTGCATAAGTATTTGCAATCTAAAATAATGGGCCATCCAAGAGTGAAGTCTTGTCTGCAGATCTGGCTTTTGGTGTGTGGTTTCTGTGTGACCAGTGATACTACTAGTAGCTTGTAGACCAATTAATTTTCTGGTGCTGCTCCCCTTCGATCATGCACGAAAAGAATGCAAGTATGGATTACCTGTCACGAAGGATGGTTGGGTTTGACTAAGTTTCTAGTGAATAATATTAACGGTTATGTCTATAAATTAGTTTATAAAGAAAATATATTTTATAATTAATTTGATAATATTTATTTGGTATTATAAACATGGATATTTTTTATCTATAATTGGTCAAACTTAAGGTACTAAAATATGGCACTGTGTTAGAATTGCATTTTTTAAGTGACGAAGGTAATACTATTCATGTGCCTATTTTATCTCTTGTCTTGTCATGAAATCATCTGATGAAGTTCATAGTACTCCTACAAGGTAGTTCATTTAGTATTTGTTAGGTATGCATACTAGTACTACCAAGATATGTTTTTTCAAGGAATTTCCCATTCACATATGGATCATACAGCTGTTTGTCAAAAGAGAATGCGATACTATCATAAGCCAAAAATTCATGCAATGCAAGATGAGTCATGACATGTACTCTCTGTGCAAGATGCTGGAATGAGTGAAATCACACTTCATAATCTCTTTTAATCGAATCCAGTATCCATATATATAGTATCATGTGTGCTTGCTCTAGAATTAACACTTATATATGTTTTACTTTAAGAAAAATATTTACTTTCAGTAGATATGAATCTTGGCTGTGAACTTGAAAAGAAGTGATGAGTGACTGAGAATTGAGCTGGTTTGATTAGTTTTGATATGGATTCAGTGCAAATTAAACCAGATAACAATACTCCTATATCAATGGGATTTTTCGTGGTTTGGGTCCATTTTAGTACCATCTCATGAAATGACATGATTTCTCATTTATGGTAGTGCTCGGTAGAGCTTGCTGTGGCAGCGCTGCGATTGCATCCGTAGGAACTAAACAAGTCTACACCCTGCAGCTGCAGCCAAAACAGCTGCAAAGAAACACAGCGGAGCACAACCTATAAGCTTATTATTGGTTGTACTCTTTCTGGTTGCGGCTGCTCACTGCTACAACCAGGATTTTTAGGGAATATTTATATATTTACCATCGTTACGATGTGAGTGGTATAAAAAATACTATGTCATTGGCTCATGTGTCAATGACACAATATAAGATGCCATCCGTAATAATGGTAAATATGTAAATACCCTAATTTTTAGATACGGTTGTAGATACTCTATAGATGCAGCTTTTTATTGAGCCGCCTCTGTCAAAAAAAAAAAAAAAAAACTGTTACTACAAATCAATTTTGTGGTAGTACTGCAGCTGCAGCTAGAAAGAATGCAACCGATCAGACCCTATTATACAAGATAGAGTATTTATTACGTTTACGAGAAATGAAGTGGAGATATATAGATCAACCCATAGAACCAAATATACATATTAGCTTTGAATATAAGATCAAACATCCTGGAAGTTCGTTTCACTATGTCAGAATAGCACTTCACTGTCGGTTCAAAACACCCCATCACTGTCGAATTTTGAACTGGCACAACCATATCGATAGTGATGAGGGTCAGCTATCACTGTCGGTTCCTACAAACCAGCAGTGTTCTTCAACTTCACTGCCGGTTCTTTACACAACCGACAGAGTTCAGTTCCACCAACACTGCCGGTTCATGAGACCACCCGACAGAGTTCAGTTCTACCAACACTGTCGGTTTATGTTTTAACCAGCAGTGTTGTCGTAACCATTACTGCCGGTTTGTGACAAGAACCGGCAGTGATGGCTAAGCTAACGCTGCCGATTTGTGGCTCGAGCCGGCAGTGCCATCTTGGCCATCATTGTCGGTTTGTTTCTAACCAGCAGTGATGGTTACGACAACACTGTCGGTTTGTTTCTAACTGGCAGTGATGGTTACGACAACACTGTCAGTTTGTTGCTAATCGACAGTGATGGCCCGTTCGCATTTTATTGTTTTATAATTTATTTTAATTTATATTTTTCGTGGAATCGGGTTTCGCTTTATATACGCTACGTAGACGACAGGTCCATCAATATTAAACATTATAAATGTTATGGTTACAGTTCAAATGTTCTTATCAAGATCTCGATCCCTCAAAATAAAAAAAAATTATTCGATAAGACGAAGCATGCTTCTCTGACTTCTTATAATAATCTAGCGAGCCGCTATGGGCCATACTGGTCCGTAAACTTCACGGATTGTGCAATGGAAAATACTTCATCCTTTTCCAATACCTCGGCTAAGATGAATTTTGCTAGCTCCGATTGTAGTGCGACGATCTCCATGTCTAACAGCCTTTCGTGGTTATATTTCTTGCGCTGTCGTTCAACAAAGATGATATCCAAAGAGGAATCAGTAGATCATTTTGTTGAATTATTAACAGACATAAATGAAATGGGGATTATACACACCAACTTATCGGCTTCTTCTGATTTTTCGCCGATGTAGCGAAGCATTGCCCACATTACATAAAATCCGCATTCATTGTTTCCCGCCGGCTGTTTTAGGTACTTCCCCTCCATTTCGACAACCTTGAATGGGACCTGCGTCCCACCGATATGTTTTCTTCGGACGCTGTGCAACATTAAAAGGAGAAACATTAGAAAGTGGTATGTATGACTAGAAAATAATATGTTATTAGGATCGCTTACTAATTCAGCCACCAGTGCATCCAGATGATGAAATGGTTTTTTCTTTGAGTTCCACACCTCGATCAGATTTTTAGCAAGATTGACACAAATGAAGACGAAATGGTTGCTGCAATCACAGATTCCTAATTATCGAATAATCTTAACGAAAAAAGAAGCATAAAATTAAAAGCCAAGAACATATACTCGCAGTTGTAGGCTAGAAGTATGTGGGTTTTGTTATTCATCTTGAATTCATCGAAAACAACAATCAATCTCTCTTTCAAGTCTTCCATGTCACATCCATGTAGGCCTAAACATGTCTTCTCATTGACTTGCAAGGGGTCCAAGAAGCCTATGTTATGCCATTTGTTTTTAGTATGCAAAATTTTGCTATACAACTACATAAAATCATAGGAATTGGTCAAAAGTTAACAATTTGTGTCTCGAGAGAGTAGTTAATTATAATATCGTGCGTGTAGGGTACTTACATAGTCCATCAGCGTCAACATTTGTGAATCACGAGAGCGTTTCTGGTATAGCTGGAACAAGCACTCTCACTCGACATCGAACTTCTCTTCTTCAGGATAATTAAAAACATGTGGCGAACGGACAATAACATCAAAACTAAAGTCATCCGTCTATGTTGCTTGAGCCATGTAATATTTATGCAACTAGCGCATATATGTTGTTAAATTTTATACTCGTCATCGGGAACCAAAAGATTGCACCTTTCATACTTCATTGCCGGTGTTCCTGTTCCTTGTACATCATAATAGATGTTCGCGGCCTCTTTCATGGTTAATTCGGGGTTGTCTTTGACGTACTTCTGTATCTTCCTTAAATCTTCATTGTGCATTTCATCGGCTCTTATTGTAGCGTACTGATTTTGTGTTTGCCTTTGAAATTCGGACTTCAACAAACACGGAGGCAGTGAGGCACACAGATTGAAGAAACTAACAAATCTTCCTTCGAGATGTGTGCTGTAAATTTTCCTTCCATCAAGTTTGTAACATTGCCACTGAACGACCTTTTTCTTTTTTGTTGGTCCACTTTGGGAGCATTAGCGACCGAATCCAAGGACCTTTTCTGCGACTACGAGGATGCCTTTGATCTTGTTTTGGGCTGACGTGGAGGAGGAGGAGGAGGATGACGATGAGAATTCTGTTTTCCCGGGGCTGATGAAGATGGAGGATGAGTCTTCTTTTTTCTCGGGGCTGATGAAGATGGAGTCAGACGAGGAGGAATAGAAGGAGACCTCTGTCTTCTCGGGGGTGATGGCAAGGGATGAGGAGGGGAGTGATCTCTGTTGGGAGATGGTGAGTGATCATCGCGGGTGGACGAAGATCGCAGTCGTCCTCATCAGAGGACAATTGGTGGTCAAGCTTAATGAAGCGCTTGCGCCAGGCCACTTGAGAGCCCTTGTTATGACCAAGTATTGGCCTGTATTCCGCTGTGGGGTACTCAATGTGTATCTTGTTATACTTCTTATCAAGTATTCTGTCAATGGTGACGCGAACGTACCCCTATGGAATTGGGCGGCCATTAATGGTTCCATCTCCCGCAGGCCTGGCCGGCTGAGTGCCACCTTATCCTTTGTCCATTCCTGATGGATGTACAACTTGACATTGACGGGTTCAGTGATGCCATCCACCGGATGAGGCACATTTGCATCTTCTTCGTCGAGCGGGGTCGATCCACAGCTGCTGCGACCCCTAAACTGTGGGCTAAAGGCAGTAGAAGTAGGGTTTTATGGTACTCCTAACCCCTTGGACAGTATAATTTGCTGGACTCATGCTTCAACAGTCGCCTCAATCTGTGCGTCCATTCTTTCTTCCATCTCTTTTAGTCGCCTGAAATACTCTGCCTCCTGATCCGCTGTACCCCTCGAGCGGCTCCGGTAAGTGTTAGATTTTTTGGGGAATGCTAGTTTTCAAGGAACAACAGAAAGTAACAAACCATCTCCGAAAAATCCCAAACTTGGTGTTTCCTTC